GCAACTTATACATTTTAGCTTATAAAAAATAATTAAATATTAATAATTTTTAATCCAGTAAATTAAGGATAGTTATCAATAAGAAACATGGACTTAATGTTTCTTAGTGTTCTATATATATATATATATATATATATATATATATATATAGTAGATTCATTTTCTTTTCATTATAAAAGCTTTGCTTTTTTTTTTTTTTTTTTTAATTTAATGTGAAAATTCCAAGTCATAAAAAATAGAAAAAACTGTATTGAAATAAAGATTTAAAATTTTTTTCTTTTTCGCTACTGAAGGGTGTCTATTCTAATAGACCGAGTTGTTTTTTTTTTTTTTTTACAGCTTATCAACTTTTTTAAGGTTATTTAATCATATTTTTAGATTGTAAGAATTTTTTGGAAATAAAAAGGTTTTTTATGATATAAGCCCTGCTGGAGGAAGAAGAGATGGATTCATAGCTTTGCACCTAAGTGAATATAATGAATGAGTGGAATTCAAACTTAACTCTCTAATTTCTCATTCCAAGCTGTTATTCATTACACAACCTGCACATCATTTGATGATTTGAGTGTATATTCAAAGCAGCACCAAGTTGAATTTATTTGAAGCTGTGAACATCTCTCTAGATGACTAAACCTATGTGGGTACATCAATTTGTCTAGCCTAAAAATGAAAGCGAGTTGTGACCTACATATGCAGGTGAATAGAACCTCAAGGAAGCAGTTAAATGTAGAAAGGCCCAGTGTTACTGTGTACAACTGAGGAAGATACACAAGAGAAGGCTTTTTATTGCATTTAATGGTTTCTAGAATTAAGTGTGCAAAAATAACTAATCAAGAAAGCTAATTAATCATGAGAAATTGAAAGGTTCTTAACTCAAATATTAAATTGCTACATTTGCCATGTGGAACAAAACAATCATGACAGGTAATAAATCATGAATAATTAATCAAAAAAACTTGAGACAATATTGCTTACATAAAGACTTAACCATAGGAATATATATTGATGTAGTTTTCTAGAAGAAAAGTTTTGGAGAAGAGGGCTTTCAAGAAACAAAAAATACTCAACTAAAAATCAATGGGCCCATGGGGTCTATTTACATAAAGATATCTTTGTTATCGTCTAGAAATAATATCAGGAAATTGGTTATCAAAATTTGGTCAAGAGGATAAATGGAGCATGCAGTTGTGAAACAAAGGAAACCCTTAGGAGTGTCAATGATCAATTCATACCAATAAATCATTGATGAGAAGTTAGTGAGTTGGGTTCTTTATATATATATATATATATATATATATATATATATATATATATATAAATAAAAAACTAAGTCCATTAAAACACCAAAGAGAGAAGAGACAAGGACATTGACTAGTTTAACAAAGAAAGAGCATATAAGAGATCGAGAAAGATACGAGAAAGGCAGAACATAACAGCAATGGTAAGAACAATACCCCAACCTTCCTTCAAAGAATGAGAGAAGGAGAAAACAGATGTGAGTAAATGCAAGAGATATGGGAGAGTCAGATCATAGTATCAAAGTTTCTCTCACATAGATGAACTAGCCAACAAACTGGCTATGAATGAACAACTCAAAATTCAAACACTTGTGTACTACTGTCAAGCACTAGAATTGTGGAAAGACACTAGTCTGAAACGTATTAAAAAAAAATTACAATAAATGTTAAATGTATTCTGGTTATCTTCATTATTCAGTCTTGGGAATCTGTCAAATTTAGCTGTGTGGCACCTCATTTCAATCCTGAACGTTACTAAACCAATGACTGGAAGATGTGCATGTCTGTTACATATAAGGTTACATTTGGTGGCCAGGATCAACTAGGACATCAAAATTCTATGAAATCCCCTCAGTTATGACAAAACATAAGTAAAGCATTTATTTTAAACAAAACATTCAATTTTTTTTAACAGTCTCCTTGCCAATGCACTTAATTCAGTGGTGAATATTAATCAAATAGACTGAACATTATACAGTGAAAGCTTCAGATCAAAATATAATATAATTACATATGAAGCTACATACTTATTTATCATCCCTTATATTAAATACTAGCAGCATGGCCCGGCGTTGCCTGTGCTTGATTAAAAAAATCGTACGACTCATACAGCAATTGCTATCACTTGACTTAAAATATTTTTGCCCTTCCTTGCCTTTAAAGGAGTGCCCTTTGCCATGCTGATGTTGCTACATGCCTTACTTCTTGCCTATCTCACACTGCAAATTTTTTCTAAGCACTATACTAAACATTAAATCTGTTATGAAAAAAGAACTAAACAAAATGAACACAAAACGATCAGCTTTAAAAAAGGACTTGTAACTGGAAAAACCAAATGAAAAAAGAATGTTAACAATAAATACTTTTTCACACCCAACCCAGTTCTGCGGAATCAGAATCAACGTTGTGTTTAAGCAAGTGAATGAGCCAATTGGAGTAAAGTGCCATGCAGATTTAAAATTTTCCCCACTTGTGACAAATACAGCTATCGAATTTTTTTGCATGCTAGCATGCTAGTTCACATTCATGTCAGTCAGCTGTTGGCTCTCATGCTGGCCAATAGAATCTTCCTGCCTATTCGTGGAAGCCAGCTATAGGCTCTCACTCTGGCCAGTAGAAAATGGCTGCAAACTACATGAAAACTGCTGTAGAAGCATGAAAAAAAATCGATTATTTCCACTATCGATGGAAGTTGGGAAATGCAAAGTCAGTCTTGGCCTTCCTGCTAACTTGTAGCATGTGCATGTAAGTTTTGGTGCAAATCTGTCAAAAATTGCGGCCGTGCATTCGTTACACACACACACACACACACACACACACACATCCTGCCTTTTATAGATAGAGATTTGTAATTAGACTCAAAGATTAAGTTGCCATAGATTCAATGCAGAATACATTTTGCTGTCTAGTTTGATCAGTCTCTGCAATTAGTTTAACCTTGATCACACACGACCAATCAAGGAGAAAGAGAGATGAGAGAGGGGGGGGACAAAGCAAGTTAAGACAATGGTTAGTGTTTATAACAATCAGATGGCTACAAATAATACTGCCTGCAGAGATCAGGCTAATGGATGGTCAGCTGTAACCATGGCCAACCATTTGCATGTATTTTCTTAATAGAAACATTTTTTTACTTTATACATTATCCATGTATTAAGGACAATAAAGATAAAATAAACAATTGGACAGTGAGTTTTTTTTTGTTTTTTTTTTAATGTAAGCATTCACTTATCACAGCATGGAATAGATAGGTGGCAGTTTGTCAATGAATAGAAAGCAAACATTCTAATAATAGTTAATTTGAATTCTGCAGTTTTACAAAAAGTAGCTTATAAATCCCCTCTTGTACAAAGCCCTTTCTCAGAAAGAGATACATGTAAAGAATATTCATTTTAAGATTAGAGCTGATTTTAGGAGTGTGAATGTATGCATGTATCAATGTTAAATTTCTTTACACCCATAAGTGTTTTAACTATTTATGAATACTAAGTGTACTCTTGTAACTAGAGTCCTTTAGCTGAAATATTGAAGTATTTTCATGATACTTTAGCCAACTCATGATAATGTATGGATCATGAGGAAAATCATACGGTATATCTTAAAAAAAAAAAAAAAAAAAATCATTAATGTAGAAATTTAAATGATCATAAATCAGTTTGGTGGAAGATTTATGAAATAAATTTTGACACTAAAGCATTTAGGCTTACATATTTTAAAATGTAAAACCTTTATGGAGAAATTATGAACATGATTTTCTGGCATATTAATGCTTATAGTTTGTATAGGACAAAGAAATAGGATGGAAAATAACTTTCTGTTTGCCTTTTCTCATACTTAACAAGAAAAAAAAAGTAAAGAAAATTTGTTCTCTTAAGTTACATGCCAATTATGTCAAAACTAGCTTCAATATAGTTTTTTTTTTTTTTTTTTTTTTTTCGGCATATCAACCCCAATCGGTTATTTAATGCTGACAAAATTTTCATTGCTGGTAATATTTTGTTTTGTCAAAAATCTATTTCTGGTAATAATTTTTTTTCTCCAAAAATGTGTTGCTGTAATAATTTTTTTTTCAAAAAATTATTGCTGGTAATATTTTTTTCCTCAAAAATGTATAGCTGGTAATATTTTTTTTTTCTTCAAAATTTTATTGCTGAAAATAGGTTTTAATACAAGAAATACTTTCATCGTGTTTTTACCCCAGTTTCAGGGTTAACTATTTGCCCATAGCTGAGAGCTTAACAGGTGCTACCACCCCGGGTCAGGGTGAACCTGGGAACATCAGCAGTTAAGAGGTGGTTCCATGCTCCTCAAAACCTCCTGATCAGAGGCCTTGCCGTTGGATGTAGTTTATCATCTTACCCAGGATTTGGATGTAGTTTATTTGCCATACCCAGGACATCTTCAATATAGTAACATTGCTTATAGTAAAATACTTTTTATTGGCATACCCTGCAAGAGTACAGTATATTTAAAATAGAAACTGGTTTGTATGAAAATCGTTTTCTGAAGAGTTACAAATTTTGTTTGGTTGGAGTGGGAGTAGGAGAATATTTTTAAGTCAACATGATCAAAATTTATTAAAAATCTTAGTTAAAGATGAAACTAACTTAATAACAGTCAAATCTAGCAGGTTTTCTCATTCTAAATTTGAAGAGGTCTCATATATTAGTCATGAAATTTTATTACGTTAATCATGGGCTACATACACAAAATAATCAAGATAGATTGTTAGTATGGGCACTTCAATGTGGTGTAGTGGTTATCAAGCTTGTCTTGCTAGAACAATTCTGACTGAGTAGTGAGTTTGATCCTCACTGGGTGCCCCATACTATTAGCCTTGTGCCACATCTAAGCTATGCTTAGAAAATCGACATATGTCTGACCAGCTATAATGATCTTTTTTCAAAATGCTTATTCTTTATATTATAGAAACTGGAAAAAAAAAAAAAATGAATAAAAATGAAAGAAAATAAATTAACTTACAAAATCCAGACTTGAGAGGTTCTATAAGTCGGAGGGTGAATGTAGATCCTTTGGGGATTTCTTTAAGCATCTTGGCAACTTCAAAATGTCGGCACCCAACCAAGCTCTTGTCATCTAATTTTTCCAGGTGATCTCCAACATTGACATGTGACACATTGTGCATTGTGCTATTATCCTTAATCCTCTTAATGAAGGCATAGCCATTACCATTGTCTGTAATTGTCAGTCCTAAAGCATCTTCTGTTTTTGTGATGTCAATCTCTTTTGGTTGGCCTTTCAAGTGAACAAATATAAAATCTTCAAGTCCAATTTGGCCACCAAGAAGTTTAGTCATGTCTACCTTGTGGGAATTTAATGTGCAAAACAGAATCTGAAAGAGAAATCAAGAAAAATATTAATATATTAATTAAATACAATGATAATATAGTTATAAAGGGGTATATAAATGCAAAATGTAAGCATTAATTATAAATTATCTCATCTTTCACAAAGATCTATTATATCAGTTTTTATTTACACAAAGAAAATGTTTAAATAGTAAAACAAATAAGAACAGTAAAGTATTAAAAATGGGAACTACTTAAATTAACAGATCCACTTGTAAACCCCCTACCCCCCCAAAAAACCCCAAAACAGGGAAGAATTTTTTAGCAATTCTTATAGATTATCTTTCATTAGATCTTCATTTTTTTACCATTTTAGAAGTGTATGTGGTGGGGGATCCTGTTCATAATATAAATACAGTGTCTAATCAATCTGACTTTTTAAAAGGGTTAGCTGTACTTTGTTTCTATTTGAAAATGTCAAGCTTACAACTGTGCTTATGTCACTGATAACTATGTACTATTAGAAATTGGGGAAAAGGACAACATAAAGACATTTTTTTTGTTTTTTTTTCTGACAAATGTTGCGGATAGTGGAAGGTCTAATGAATGCTAATCTACAAAAATTATTATTACCCCCAAAATTCTTTCCTGTTTTTTTGTAAATAGACTATTCCAATTAAACAAGGATGAATCATCCCCATTCCCTTCATATTCTATTAGTAAGAAGTTTCACTCAGACAGCTCCTTCCAAAGAATTGGTGCTTCATGGTATAGATTCCCAGGAAGATGTTTTCCCAATCACTACAATCTTAACCTCTTCAAGTCCAGGGTTAATCGTTATCCTACATAGCCTAATGAACTGGACTTGTAGCCTTTTCTTACAGTCATACAACACCACACAATAACTCTCTACCTTGAGTGGCTTTTAGGTCTTTTATTGGGTAAACATTAATATATTAAAAAAAAAGAAAAAAAAAAGACCAATTTAAGTAGTGCCAAAAAATGTTTATGAGGACAACTCAAAACAACTGCATAATATGTATTTCCTTTTAATTAAATTTGAATTACTTTGTGAACAATTTCCGAGTTACCAGATAGACAGTATAACTGTTAGTAATTAATTATTGAAGGAAAGACAGACTTGAATTAAATGATTGCTAAATTAATCAAAGAGACCTTTTTGTAAATATCTATCAGAGTTAAAAAGTGTAGTTTTTAAATAAAGTCAAAAAGTCAGTAGGTGATCAAGGATAGAAGATTAAAAAAAACAAAACAAAAAACAACTTATTTCATGCTTATTTGTAAAAGTAATAACAAAGGTAATGCAATTTTTGAAATAATTGATTTTTAAGTCTCATTTATAGCCCCTTGTTTTAAATTTCAATAATATTTCTGCTTTTTGCTTAGTATGTAAGAATACTAATATAAAATTTATGTGTATTTACATATAGGTAGGTACTTCCAAAGATTCGATAAAAAATTAAGCATACATAGTGAAAAAATGCTCAAAATTTATAAAAAAGTTATTAAAAGGAAAAGACCAAAGGATTTTTTTTTAATGTAAACTTACTTTTTAGAACCTTCGAAATTTTGGGTAAAAATCTTGTTTTTCTAGTGTCAATGTCAGACCATAAATTTGTACATCTTTCTACAGTGAAAAATGTGGATTTGGAAATTCTTGCAAAAATCAAATAATTGTCAGATTTTACAGAAACTTTCAGGACTTATTCACAAATGAATTAAATTATTTTTTAAATCTTTCTTTTTTAGAATCTTGGTAAATTTTTTTTTACATCTGTTTCCACATACTTGATTTTATGAAATTTCAAAAAGTTTTTGTGGTGCTTAATCTTTGTAGTAGATATGACAAATCCTTGGAGAATTTAAATCAAATTTTTGGGGTCAAACAGCTCCCGCCCACCCACTGCATTACAGAAAATCTACTCTAAATTGTAAAATAAAAAGTGCAATAAAAACAAAGACATTATTTACTTAGAAAAGGTTGTAATTGCTTTTATAGATAAAATATATTATGAACATTATTTTCTAATGTAAATATCGTTTTTGATAAATAATTAATTTTTATAAGAATGGTTTCCATTTTTTTCTTAAAATTCTGTATTAATTTGTAGCAGTTGAGTGATATTGTTATTAAATAAAAAATATTTACCAATCATAAATAAAGCTAACTATAATTCAGTGACCGCAGTATTTTAAAAATATTTAAAAAAATTTTTTTGTGCCTATGAACATACCAATTTTTGTAAATACAGATGTTCATACATGACATTATCAGAAAATAAGAGTAGTAACTATAGTAAAGTCAAAATTTATTGATAATTTTTTAACATTTCCTCAAAAAGCATATGCTAAGTAAGACCATAAAGCTGAAGTACATACAATTCAATAAAATATTAGATTGCTTAAATATTTAAATTTTTTAATATTACTGGGTAGTTAAGAAAATTATATAAAAAAGGGTGTTTACATTGTATTCATGTAATTTTATTACAATTATCTCTTCCTTATTTAAATTTCGCAAACATCAGGTTGACACAAATGTGTCAACACCCCATTAAAAACACTCACCTCCATGTTAAAAAAATGCTTTTCTGTGACATTTTAAACTAAAAGTAAGTAATATTTGTTTTGATTCAGATTAATTAAACTTTAAATCAGCTAATATTTCTCATATAACATTTAAAAAAGTATATTTTATTTTCAAATGATTTTTAATGAAGAGAATTATATTGTGTTGATAGATTTGTCAATATGGATGATTTTATAGATTTTATTGATAATCAGAAAAAATAATTCCAATCAATTTAAATTTGGTTTGAAATACAGCAAAGTATTTTGAAAATATTAAATTTAATATTGAATTATAACTTGAATTAAAACTAAAATAAAAATTAAGATTTTTCATTTTTTAAAATAGCCTTTAAACCTTAAGTATTTTCTTTTTTGGTATATATATATATATATATATATAAGCCAAATATTTTTATATGTGATTAGCAAGCTAAGGCTTGTTGTGGGCATACTGTAAAGGTTAAAATTTTATTCTTAATTAGACAACACAAAGAATTATTAGTGGAGTAGATAAAAGAAAATTTAATTCCACAATGTATTTAATAAATACAAAACATAGAAAAAGAAAGAAAACCAATTTATGTAGCTTTCAAAAAGAAAAGTTTAAAATTCCACAATTTTTAACAATAACAAATAAAATGAAAGAATGATGAAGTGTTTTTGGTTTAGATTTACTAGATTTATATATAAAAAGAACAATCAATTTCTTTGTCCTATAACTGACTTATTTTTTAAAAATTTTATTGTTACTTTTTAAACCAATGTTCTAGGTTAAATTAAACAGTATGAATCAGGAAATAAAGATTTTGGGGGTAGATGGGTAAGTCTGGAATTTATCACTTGATTATATCCCACCTAAAAATAACTACTTTTTTCACTAAATTAAATAACTTTACCAGGTAAATTCTATTAATGCTGAAGCAAAGCTTGCCATGACTCACAGGTTAGATCTACCACTACTTACTAGTGAGAGATAATTTCATTAAAGATTTTATTTCTTATGAAAGACACTAGTGTCTTCAGTTAATTTTCAAGAGAGAAGAAAAATATTAACAAAATTAAACAAAAAATAAATTTTTCATCAATTTAACACATGGAAAATAAATCAAGAATTTCCATAGAACTTGCTCACACATTATAACATGGTTAAGAAATAAATATATTCCAAGTTATATTGTAGTTAAGTAAACGAGAATTAAATTTTATTTATATAAAATATGTATAATTATGTGTTTACTGGGTTAGAAATGCTTACTTTGCTCTCAATCTTTGCTATAATCTAAGTATTCTGTGAAGATTTGATACAGGAAACTTCAGTAAAAATCAGTTTAGATAAACAAAGTAAAAATGTGTATGAGACAACCCTATGACCTTTCAAAGAGAATGACCTCTGGTCATCTTCTGACAGAAAAAGTAGAATAGATGAAAAAACTAAAAAGATCAATGAATTTACTCAATAGCAAATTATGCAAAAAGAACTATTTTTATGTGACCACTTTTTTCTTTTTTTACTCATTTGCAAATAATACATAGTATTCTATAATTAGCACTTAATAGTTATCTCACTTGAAAAATGATTTTTCCAGGTCAGTGCAAATACCAACCCTACAATATTATCATTCAGTTGTAAATTACCTGGATTTTTTGCATTTCTTAACTTAGTAGATTTTAGTGAGTAGCTTGATTTAATACCTCTGGCTAAAATACAGTTTAGACTATTTAGAGTACATACAGACATACAATGTCAGACTTTTAGTATGATATAGATTCCATTTTTCCTGCAATTGGTACAAAAATTTTAGTTATTAATAAATTTCTGCTTTATTTTGTAAACTAAAAATAATTCAACTTCAAAATATAATTATTAAAAATATACTTCACATCTACTTAGAGCTCTAGACAAAATCGTAAGTTTGGTAGGGTGAAAATTTGGTCTTGTAAAAATAAAAATTTAAAAAGAAAGGAAAAAATGAAGACATACAATTTTATAAAAATTATATCCAAAATGTTTATATTCTAAAAATATAATACAGTTTTCATACAATAGGAAATAGAGTAGACACAGGCAGATTTCTTAATGATTCCTCTTACTACTTCAACTCAAGCTATTACTTTGATTGCTACTTGGACTGACTGCTTGATATGTTTTTCT